TTTCTTTCCAGTTCATGAGAATGGTTTTCTTTGCATTGCATACAATCATGAGGGCCATGTGAGCTGACTTCATGTCTGTTGATGTAATTTAGATCCCCAAGTATGCATAGGAATACTATACTTTAACCATGTTGATAATTCCTTGTAGATGTCCAACCAGAACTTATAAACAGGTGCACAGAACAATACAGCATGTGCGTAATCATCTGTTGTATTGTCTGTGCAATGTGTTCAGATATTTGAGGGTGTGAGACCCGTCCTGAACATCCTTTGTCCTGTATCATGAGTTCTATGGAGCGCCATGCATCACAAAGACCAAAATCACTCATGTGCTGTTTAACAATCTCAGTGGACTGCCAGTTCCGCTGACCTCGGCTGTTATTGAGCCTGTCTACTCTTCAGTCAAATGCCATGTTAAAGTCCCCTCCTACGACCAAGGCGTTATCCAAGCAGTGTTGCCAACTCAGCGACTTTGTCGCTATATTTAGCGACTTTTCAGACCCCTCCAGCGACTCTTTTTCGAAAAAGCGACTAGCGACAAATCTGGCGACTTTTCCGGTGTCACTGGCGGCTTTTGGAGACTCTTATGTGAAAGCACGTATCGTTCATAATCTTGTCCTCCAGCGGCAGCTGCTGCCGTGGGGCGCATCCCCCCTCCCAACCCCGTTCTCCCGCTCCAGCAGGAGTCCCTCTCAGCGCTGCAGTCAGAGGCACCTGTTAGTTTTCGCGCCCATCCCCCGTCTCAGTGAGTTCTAGAATAATTTTATCTTTATCCAGCCAATCAGCAAAGATCACCCTACATTATAGGTTACTTTGTTTTGTAGTTTGACCAATCAGCAGAGACCGCGGACACTTTCTCCAAAGTCAGAAAAATGAGCTTTTGCAGCTCGGTTCACTGGACATTTTCAAAAGAAACATCAAAACTAACCATGTGAACTTGATGAAACTCATACATTTTATTGTTGAATAATTGTGTTTAGTGTTGACATACAAGTTGTTTGCTGAGGAATTATTAAAATTATTGAAAATACGGCATGAAAAATGCAGGCACCATATTTGATCATATGCCCTTTTCACTAAAAACTAGATTTTACTTGGAATGTCTGTTTTTGGACATATGCCCAATGCATCTAACAAAACATACTATGCATTTTCTTTACAAATAAAGCAATACAACTTAGCATATTATGTTTTAAGGTCGCAAAAGTTTTTTATATCACTATACAGTGATTCTGCTCAATTTCAACACTGTGTTTTTAGTTTATGAATAGTAATTATGAGTGATTTTTGCCACTTGACAACCTGAGGCAATATATCAAAAGCAAGCCAGACAAGTGGGGTTTAAAGTTGTTTGCCAGGGCATCTG